CAGGCAGCGCTGCATGTTTGATTTGGCACAGCTTTACACCGTTTGCCCTTCCTGACTCAACCAAAAAAGGAATTTGTGTCTCCAGCTGGAATTGAACAGGTGACCTTTTGTGAATGTAAATGTGTAAACCACTACACTGTGATTAATAACCTGCAACTAATCTGTGAATCATTTACTATTTCTCACATTAACAGCTGAATGGAATGTAATTACAGCTAACCAGGTAGAATAACAGTGTGTGATAGCTGCAAGGGCAATCTGCCACTGGTCAGAGGACGAGAAAATACTAAACTGGAGACGCATCAAAGTAACTTGTGACCAAGAGAGACTGTGAATGTTCTATTTGGATATTTGGTGTTTTAAAAATAAAATTGACAATTGAATTTGCTGGAATTTGTGCTCATGCTAAATCTCCATGGAGCTGAGCTCATGCAGCTCCTCTGTGTTCAGTAAGGCAAACCAAACTTGTTATTCGAGGGCTTTTCCTGATGACAGCAGAGCATGTGCCACAAAACGTGGAAGAGTAAGTTTGAATGGAGGCTGTGGCAAAGCTGCACATAACTACACTTCCATGGAAACATTAATGCAACACAAAGGGACATTATATGTAACCTAAAAGCACAACCAGCACCCTGTTAATGATCAACTCTGTTTAAGTATTTTATTTTTGCAAAGAGATCCTAAAAGTAGATTACCCACGATGGGGAAAGGGGAAAAAAACCACCAGAATCACCACCAGAAAGTTATACCGCGTGTTTCATGTCATGACTGTGCCAACCCAGTAAAGCAAAAACATAAAATCTACAAAATAAACAAGTTTAGGTACAGTTTCTGAAATGCTCATATCTGATATACTGCACATGTGCAGATAGTGTCCATTCTTTATTTTTGCACTTATGTCTAAAATCATTGAATTATTACATTTCAGAAAGTGTTCCTTACAGAACTAAATTATTAACACAACTGAGAATGTTCAGATGATGCTAACAAAGAGACCACAACAAACTAAACGTAAAATAAACATAAATGAAGATCTAAATGGAGAATGACTACAATCTATTTCTCAACTGTGTAAGGTGCTCCACGATCCACAGCAGCCTCCCCACTTTGCTTCTCATTTTATGAGAAGGCTACATCCTGTAATATAGAGGGCCACTCCAAGTGCTCGGCTTTTAAATGTCAGTTTGTGCTGAACGCAGCTCTTTGGGTTTATCAACATGAAACGACAGAGTGAGGATGAGAGCAATAGAGAAGGTTAGTTTGTAAGAGAGCTTACCATCAGCCCAGCCTCTCCTCTTCTGACTCACGAATCAGGACTGGCTAAATGAAGCAGAAGCGCAGACAAAATAAAAAAACATAAATTACAATATTCAAATAACAGGAAAAAGAGAAAAACAGAGCTGAACAAAAGCCACTCAGTCACTAATGAATGGAATGATGGATATGTAAACCAGCACTGCAACAAACAACTTATCAGCATCCAACATGTTGCCCACCGGAAAGCGTCAACAGCCTAGTGGACCTTTGGTTAAATCCTTTAGTCCCTGACACTAAGTTTATGTTTAATACGCATTGTTACTGTTGAATAACAACTACTAGATATACACTACAACAGCAAGACAAGACAACAGCTCATGAATATGAAAACATGAACGCAGCTTAGAACTGCTCCAAGGACCTGTCACTGCACAGCTCATCTGCAACACATACGAGACGGGGGGATGTAAGCCTGAGAGATTCCTACTTAAACACTTTTCAAATCATTTGTCCTACAAGCTCCAAACCAAACAGCAGAGTTAGCACTACACAGTCTTCTTTGTTTGAATTCATGGGCTTGTTTTGACAATAATTAAACTCAATTATTTTTAAGTACAATTTTCAAGCATGCTGATTTCTTATATCAATAACAGGCAATTTAACTGGTCTCAAGCCGTGCTTCTGCATGCTTCAAGTATGTGAGATCGCAGCCTGTCCCTAATCAGAGTGCTTATGAACAGCAGAAGATTACCAATTAGAGGGTTTGATGTTTTCTAAATCAAATATTCACTTGCTACGTTACGCCTTTAATACATCTTTCAAAGCATGATAACCAAGGGAACATTACAGTCGACGCTGCAGGTCACTAAGGCTGTGATGCGGTTTATTTTGCAGCAGTAACTTTATGATGAGCCGTCAGACAGTCTGTTTTACGAGACACAATGTACCGTCTGTCTCATCGAGCCATAAAGAAAACATCCAAGGCTTAAAGTGATTGAGGACGAGCTACTTTGCAGACAAACAGAAAAATGATCCTTTGAGTCAGCACAGCTATCTATGTATCATTTAACAAGTCAGCAGAGCAAACCGGCCCAGAAAACCCTTTGAAATGCTCCATTAGTGACACTGTGACTCATTGCATGCTGGTCCAGCTTTTAGACCTGCAGCATCTGAGAAGAAAGCTCATTGTTTAAGAGTAGGTGGTGGTGAACAGTTCAGTAACGAAAGGAAGCTCCTTAACCACTTCTTGCAGAAACAACACATTAAAACGCTGCTGTTTAGTTTTAAACCAGTATCTTGGTTCACTCCTGTTGTTGCTCTTGGTTTTCGTATCTGCTGCTTCAGCTCAGAGGAGCTACCTGCTCATAGAGGTATTGAATACTATATTTATCTAAATAACAACATATCCAACAGATTAAAGCATAAATTTCATCTGATATGAGAAACAGAAGCTCTTTGACCACACATTATTACTCTGAATCGCTTACAAGACTCGTGTGAAGACAAATATTCGACACAGATGTGGGACAACTTCCTACATCTACAATAACAGTACAAAGGCATCTGAGTCCTCCAGGCTGAGGGCAAAGTGTTCTCTTTGAAGTGGGTCAGCCAACATTCGCCCATCACTCTGTGTACATACAGTGCTGCATGGGCACATCATCTACACAAGGTACATTTTCACTGCAGGAACTAGCGGCAGGCACGAGGCAGCTCGAGGATGAATGAAACCACAACAGAGGGAACATCATTCCACTTCTCCTAAGTTAGCGGTTTTCAGGAAATAAAAGGTGGTTAATTGACTTTAGAGAGTTTAAACCAATGCTGCTATGATTAATTTTTTAACCACTGAAACCAGCTGTTGTTGTTTCAACCAGTTTTTGTTTCAAGGTGCCCTGAAACGACCCACAAGTTCCTACACCAGAAATATACAAGCGGTGTTCCTGTTTGGAGCATGTCAGCAAGTCCTTTTGGAGCTGTGTCTTACTACTATAAAAGACACATCTCCTGGATGCACTGGTACGCATCTTCAGTGATGTATCCTGGGGTCATCAGGTGTTTTGGGTCTCACAACATCATACACCCTCGCCCAGGCGACCCAGCCAGGGGTGATCAGGCCCCGACTTGCATACCAGTAGCTACCCACAGATCAGCCCTCTTGATCCACAGCCACCTTGTGGCTTTCTCTGCCGCTTCACTCACAGCCTGGATGGCCCTCTTCTTGGCTGCCCCAGCCACACCCAGCCGGCCTAGGACTTTGCAGAGTGATCGTCCTGCAAAGCCCCTACAACCCACTTCTATGGGCTCATAGAAAGTCTTCCAGCCCCTTCCCCTGCACTCCTGCACTAGTTCCTGGTACTTTCCTCGTTTCCTTTCATTGGCCTCCTCTATCCGCTCTTCCCAGGGCACTGTGAGTTCCAGCATGATCAGCTTTTTTGAGGCCTCAGAAATACTCTTGAATACTCTTATTCACACTCATTACCAAAAACTAGGTTGAATGCATTAGTTTATTCCTTAATTTAACTGGGGATAGAGATAGATAAGTGAAAAGATCCAACAATGTCAATCCTGACAAAAAGGGCATTCATTGCAGTAGGAGTGTACTTGGTGATAAGACATACCTTCAAATGTGGTCATGAGCAATAGATCTATTCTATTGCCACAGAAAAAGACTCAGTAATCCAGGCAAGTATCCAGCACTGCTTCCTCTGGGTACGTTTTTCCAAATTAAAACTGGCAGAAGAGCTGTCAAACTTCAGTCAACTGTTTCCGTGGACATTTAGAAAGATCACATGCTGCAAAGAAAAAGAAGAAGAAGAAAAACAAGCATTAAAAAGAGACGCAAAAGTGTGTACTAATGTGCGGTAATAATCAAGCAGTTACATAATCTGTATTATTAAGACCACAAGCAGCCATCCTCCTGCACTAAAAGTAGAGTCAATATTTGGCACCAATAATTAATTATAACAATCTTATAAAGCAAAGCTGTAATAGGGTGTTCTTGCAGTGCTGCTGAAATTGATGTATGAGGATTTAAATTAAAAACCACAAGGATTGCCCCTAACAGCACACACAACAAACCAAGGCCATTTAATATCCGATATTCAATCCACAACAAATGGTTACAGCCATCCCCCCTATGCTAGGAAGCTCATACAACTCTTTGGATGGCGGAATGAAAACATGTAGTTTAATTTTGTAGAGCACAGGGCCCCCGCCCCCCTGAGGACTTTTAGCTTAATTAACTGTGTAATGTTAATTAATAGTGCTGCATAGCCCAGAGGGATTATGTGCTGGACAGGTTTACGGAGGCAAATCTAAAATAAAATAATGTGACACTGACACAGATGTAAACATCGCTGTCTGTAAGAATAATCTGCCACAATCAAAGCACAAGGAGTGAAAAGGATCTGTGCTTACTAATAAAAAAAAGTCTCCTTTAAATATACTAAAGCACCAAAATGATCCTGTCAACACAAAAAGGCTCAGCTAAATGTATTTATAGCACTGACACTTCAATTCGCTTCAATGAAGTTAAGAGAGGTAAATCAAACTGTACTGTGCTAATGTTTTTTTCATTTTCTCAACCAGAAAGGTGGTTGAGTACGTTTAAGCTCTACCATGAATTAATGATGGTCCCCTGCATGTTTCTGTTGTTTTTGTTCGTGTTACTGTTATTGATTGATTCATATCACCTGAACAACTCCTCTCTGCACTCATTCTTTGTGAAATAAAGGACGGTAGGAAAAGAAAACACCCTGACAGAACCACGTAAGCCGCCCGTCATTTACTCATCACCACACAGCCCCGGCTAGGTAATTACATTACTCGAGGGGTTACAGGTGCATTCGGTGTCATTACATGTGAGGTAACTGTAGTAACGCCTGTACTTAAAAATTGAAAAGGAGATGCTGTGATAAACTAAATTATGTATGTGCATACTTGTCTGTATGAGTGCCGTTATTGAGTTACTGCAAATAGTCCGAGCCCAGCGGTTTAACATTAGCCAGAGATAAGAAGAGGATGGAATTAGCAGCTCGCTAGCTTATATTCGTGGGTCCGGGCTTTAAAAAAACTACTGTTGGACATTTTCACAAAACAATCGTGAAATCTACGGCTTTATTTCAGAGTGGTACAAACCGTTGTGCCAGCTAAAGTCAGAAAACATCGCTTTCCCCGAATTGAAGGCTTGGCTGCTCCACTGGTGGCTAACCGGGCAAGCTAACGTAAGGGAGCCGGAGGGCGTTTATTTCACTCCACGGTGCACACCGGTGTTGGTGTTAAGCGGAGCGAGGTCATGCTTAAAATTGATGATAACAGCACATATCGCAGTGTACAACACCTGCCCACATCACACCGGAGCTCACGTGAAGCTCTTTAAAATGCAGTCAATGTTTTACAACCTACATATAGAAGCCGAAACTCTTTACAGCCAAAATATAACAATTAACTTCTCAACAGTTGGTGTTGTTTTTGTGTTGTCAGGGGACCTGGTTGATTTAACAGTGTGTGTGTATCCTGCAAAGAAAAGGAACAGAGAGTAGGCTAGCATCACCTCTCACTGCTGCCACGCCTTGTAATGTGGCTTCATATTAAAGTTCACCCAACATCCCTGATTTGAATGTATAAACCAGAAGATGCCCGCAGTGTAAGGTGACACGTGTTTATGACAGGCTCTCCAGTGATAGCAGCAGTTCTGCAGGAGTTCCCCGTTTTCAACAAAACAAAGCGTTAATACACATTTAGTAGCTGTTTATTACACTACATGGCTATTAATGTCATTATTACAGGTTATTTTAGAGCCTCGTCATACACTTATACCCTCAAACACAAACACAAACTGAAACACAACTTCTTCCCAGAAGCTGTAACACTGCTGAACTCTGTCATTAACTTATGTATATCTATATCTTGTTAACTTTCCCTTTCACTTGCTGCTATCCTTCTGTGTCAGATCACCCGTGACGTTCATCTCCACCCTGCCTGCACACGTCTTCTTTATCTCTCTTGTGCACTTTCAGGTGCTTTGGATGGATGACCTCAGGTATTTACATTAACACCTTCACTATCTCTACTCCTTGCATGTCACCATTCCACCTGCCTTCCTCTCATTCAAACACTGTATTCTGTCTCGCCTCTACTGACTTTCATTCCTCTTCAGAGCATACCTCCAGCTCTCCAGGCTCCCTGCTCTCACTACAGATCACAGTGTCATCTGCAAATATTATAGTCCACTCCTGCCTGACCTCGCCTGTCAACCTGTCCAACACCACCGCAAACAAGAAGGGACTCTGAGCCGACCCGTGGTGTAATCCTAACCCCACTTTGAACTTACCGCACACCTCACAACTGACTCACTGTCCTCGAACATGTCCTGCACCACACTCACATACTTCTGCGCCACTCATGACTTCCTCATGCAGTACCACGGTTCCTCTCTTGACACCCTCTCATACACTTTATCTAGCTCTGCAAAGACACAGTCCAGCTCCTTCTGACCTTCTCCACACTTCTACAAACATATATATTTTTTTATTATATATATA